CCAGGCTCACCCTAATGAATATATTGCCTAAAATTTATAAATATTTTTTTTTTTTGTTGAATAGAGTCAATGAATAATATTTTTTTTTACCGTAGCAAGGGAGTTTTGGGGTAATTAATTTTTTGCATTAGTATCCAATATGGCGCTACAAACAATATCATTAATGACAATAATGGTTGCAATAAAAATATGATATTTTGAAATTTTTTGGTAAGTATTTTTGGAAATAATTAAAAGACAAATAAATATTTGCTCTCTTTCAATGATGGTAATAAAGTTAAAAACTTTATATACAGTGGGTTTGCAAGGTAATCTGAATGCACTCGGAGTTTTGTTCTTATTTTTTATTTTGATATTATGGGATGAAATAATTGAGAATATTTTGTAATAAAAATTAAGAGTATAGGGTGGATTGTATAGTTAAAAAAAAAAAAAAAAATCAGAAAGAAAAGAGCATAAAATTTGAAAATAAAAAGGGGAATGAATATATATATTTATGAGAACTATTTACATGGTGTCGAAATTAGGGATATATATAGAGGGTCTAAACTTTCAGAAATATTAAATTATGTATATCATATGCACTTTAATTTTAATTATGAATATATTACATAAAAAAATATACATATTTTATATATTCTAATAATAATATTTTCAAAATTCACTACCTTTTAAATAATATATAATCGTATTATATATATCCTACAAATATATTCACAACATATAAAATATATCAATATATATTATGTGTATTTTATATAGAGATATAAGAAATTTAATAATAACTGTAATAATATTATTGATGTAATGAAATATAAACAATTTTTTCATATTATTCACATCATTTAATTACATAAATATTTAATTCTAGATTCTGAAATACAATAATACTATTAGTCATTTTACAACATCGTTCCTTTATATTAGTAATTGTTTTAATTGTGTTTAATTTTTAGAAAAGAAAAAAAAAAAATAGATAAAAGATATTTACTGAAAGTGTGATTTTGAAAAAAAAAAAAAAAAAGTTTGGAATACGATATTATATGAGAAAAACTAATGATAATTAAAAAATATTCAAACACAAATATTTATTTTTCTTAAAATAAATAATAATAATAATAATAATAATAATAATAATAATAAATACATGTTATATACTCTGTCCCTTTCGAGACATCCGAAAAAATTAACTTTATATACTCACTCACAATTTAAACAAACTTAACACATCAAAATAGTATCATTGATTCAATAAAATGAATGAAGAAACCTCGAGACAAAAATATTGCAAGAAAAATATACTTTGAAGATGACTCATTTCCATGCAAGCATTGAAAATACTCGATGATATTGAGTTGGAACAATTCATTCTTCATGAATACCGGAATTTAAAAACAATGTGTTTCTCACTACTAAGATAGCAGTATTTTTTCCATTCAACGATATATAAAGAAAAAGAAAAAAAAGATAGAAATATAAAAAAAAAAGAAATTAAAATGTCACGTAATTATTAACAAAATCGTAGACTATATATTTTCGATATTATTATAATAATCACGTGTTACCAAAATCTTGTTCATTATACATGTCAACTAAACCTTGTCCAAAAATTTGAACTCATATTTACATATTGTTAAATAGTGAAACTAAAACTAAATTATTCAAAAAATGTTAATAATAACGAACAAATTATCTAAAGATCGTTCCAACAAGGACAGGCAACTAGATGTCACTCTGTAAAATGTAGGGCTATGAGAGTAAAGTTGTCTATGAGAATACATTGCACAGACTTGTTATTTTTATGCAAGACCGACAATGACCCAAACTGTGTAGTTGGTAGCATATGTCAAACTTGGTGATAAGATATTTTTTATTTAATAAGGTAAACTGTTTTTTAGAGTCCCGTATCTGATATCCTTTATCATTTTAGAATTTTAAGTGAATCATGTCTGAAAATAGTCCCAAAAGTAAAAAATTTTCGCTAAAATGGTCATTCGGTGTCGGACTTGCCACACTGGCAGTCGTTGCTGACGTGGCGCTAACGCGGATGATATGTCATCGCCACGTAAATGTAACGTCGGAGGACCATTTTAGCGAAAAAATTTTACTTGTAAGATTATTTTGAGACATAATCCATTTAAATGTCCTAAAAATGATAAAGGAGGTCGGCACTAAAAAAATAGTTTACCAAGACATTTTGTAAAATTAAAAAATTAAAAAAAAAAATCCATGTGTCGTTAGCGTGGCATCTATGTGATGATGACATGTTAGCCACGTCGGCGCCACGTCAACAACAGCGAGCCAGCGTGGCGAGTTCAGCACCAGAGGACCATTTTAACGAAAATATTTTACTTACGGGACTATTTTCAGACATGGTCCACTTAAAGTCCTAAAATGATAAATGAGTCGGATACGGGACTAAGAAAACAATTTAACCTATTTAATATTCATGTAGGGTCTATTCAAGGCCATGACAATGAGGATACATACAACATATATTGTTGATTTTATTGTAATAATCTATATATATTAGTAATATGTCGAATATATGCGTGCCGATGCAATATTGCCAAAATATGCAATCCTATATTATATATTAACAAGATATATATACTAAATAATATTTCAAAGTAAATGAATTTTACATTATAAATAAGACTATCATAGAGTACGACTCATCGCTTAACAATCAAAAATTATTTTTCATCTTCTCTCTTACGTGATCATGAGCTCCAATACTTACAAAAATGTATTTAATTCTTCGATTCAAGCAACAAGATTTTTCAAAGCATTTATCCTTGACGGGATAAATATAATGAAAAAGGTAATGCCGCATGCAATCCAAGATAGTACGTTTATCTATGGAGATGGGAGACCAGGGTCCGTATACTTGCTCTCTTTCGACGAAGGTAATAAAATTAATAGTAGAACAAGGCATGCATATCTAAAATTTATAAATCGAAATGAAAACAACACATCAAATTCCTTCTTGTTTTCCAATTCTTAATTTTTAAATAAGAATTTTTGCGTTCGAAGTTCTAATTAATTTTGATTCAATGTAGGTCATTTATTCAAGGCAATGACAGTGAGGGTGGACGAGCTCGACATAAAGAACTTGGTTTTCAAATCGACTGCAATAGAAGGGGATGGCTTCGAAGATTTTCTCGACTCTATTTGCCAGGAGATAAAGATAGAAGCCCGGCCGGATGGTGGAGGATCGGTCGTGACAATCACCACCACGTACGACATGATTGTAGAAATTACATCGGAAGATATGCGTAAGTGGTTTGAAGAAGGTATCGCCGAAAGTGATACGAAGGTTGTGGCGATCCTTCAGGCTATTGAGGCTTATCTCCTGGCTCATCCTAATGAATATATTGCCTGAAATTTGTATACATTTTTATTTTTCTTGAATAGAGTTAATTAATAATATTTTTTACCTTTCGTATTAATGACAATAATGGTTGTTATAATATTATGATAGTTTCTATTAAAATATAAAATTGAAATTCTCTATTTTAATCATAAGAATGCGTACATAATATACAAATTTTTTATATAATATACTGCTTCTAAATATATTTTAACAGTTTCGAATTTTTCGCTAAGTATTGAATATTATTAATGACAATGATGGTTGAAAAATTAACAAAAAAATACTGATGTAAATATAATAAAGTCTAATATTTTGCTAAACCATAAATGTGTAGACAACAATACATTACCAAAACCAGTTCCGATCCAAGGCCAGTCATGAAGGCCCCTTATATGTAATAATGTCTAATAGTTATATTTTTATTTTTTAGTAAATTTATCAATATTAAATATAATTAATAAATATAAATTAATATAATTAAATTTTTAATACTTTATGTGTGAAACCTACTTAAAACTCCTTATGTATGTCTTTTTCTTTTATTAATTTAATTAAATTTATAACATATTATAGGTTGATCCTATTCAAAAAAAAAAAAAAATTATTTCTATCACTCTTTTCAATAAATAAATATTTTTATCTATATTTAAAACTCTTTATTTTTACAAAATTAGTTTTATATTAATTATAAATAAATAAAAATATTTTTATTTAATTTTTTAATATAAAATTATATTCTTTACAAAATAATAAATTTAGCTACTAGAGAAGAATGTACTAATTCAAATGGGAATAAATTTAAATAGGAATTGGTAGGAGGAGTTTCAATTTGTGTTATTTTTAATTACAAATTTTTAAATAACAATATAATACTATACAATTTCTTAATATTTTTCTATATTAATATAATCTAATATATTAAGTAAAAATTATTAATTGTAATTGTACAATCAAGTCTAAATTAGGTTGAGTTTGGGATATTCAGGTCATCCTAGGACCTAGTTATATAATATATATATATATATATATTAGGCCTAGATATACATATTTAGTTATAAATTTATTTAAACCCTAATTATTATATAAACAACTAAACGTGAGTTATACGAATTTATAAATAAATTTGAATCATATCATTATTGTATGCATAATAATAATAATAATAATAATAATAATAATATGGGACAAACTCTAAATTTAAACTACTTTTGCATTAGAGTCGTCTTGTTATAAATTTGCATATGTCAATTCACAAAAGTAGTGTTATCTCAAAATTGTTTTTAGGAGAAGAGTTACCGGGCTCAGCCCATCAAGGCAAACAGGCCGGTCTAGACTGAGAAAGAATGGAAGCCGAATCCACGGGCCCAGCGCCATTAGTAATTTTATTTAGAAAACCGTTTGAAAATAAAGAGAACACATTCTTATTTTTTATTTTTAAATTTTATTATATAATTTTCAAACTAACTCTTAAAAAAATATATTATTTTATCTTAGAAAAACACATCAAACTAAAGCACAAACCACACCTATATATATATATATATATATATATATCAATGTGGGGAAAATGTTAGCTCCATGATTCCAAGTAATTAGAAATTTCAAAGAAAATATGTTGCAGCAAAAAACAAAAAAACAGAAAAGAGTAAAACCATATGTAGAACACCTGCTGAAAGTTATATGCATTTAACAAAATGAAGCTAACCAGAACGTATTAATTAAGGCACCTACCTGTGGGATGTATATAGAAGAACTGCTCAATCCTTAGCATCTGCAATTCCACCTGGAGTTATCTGGAAAACGTGTTCCTGTTAAGAAAAGCATCAAGTGTCTTGTGACTAATAAAATAATATAGGTAGCTAAGGTAATTTCATCCATAATCTCATTAGTAACAAAAAATGTGGATTTAGGGAAGAATTGCAAAAAGGATATTGCTTCTGCTTCCGGAAGATTCGGAGCATCGAACACCTTGCAGACACGCTGTTCGCCTTTGCCTTTCCTGAACATTAGCCTTATGGTTGCTGCATGAGCCAGAACATGACCACCTGCCGGCTTCTTCGGATCCGATATAAAAACTCCTCCTCCCGGATCAGCGATTACTGCGAAAATGAGACGACAAACATATGAATATATATATAGCAACAAATAATTAAGAGTTATGTAATAATGTAAGAGTACTACCTTGGTTGGTCATGTAAACAGCAACATTGAATTCCTCAGCAATCTTAATCAATCTGGAGAGCATCTGAGCCAGCTTTTGCTGAAAATGTGTGACATGAATGTGTTAATAATACAAAGGATGAACAGAGCTTCTGTAAATAATTAGATATCGTTTAGACCTGACGATCCGCAAGCTCTCCTCTACCAGTGAAGTCCACTCGAAAGAGGGCGATCACTGAATCGACAATCTGGAATAACAGGCTCGACAAATTAGTTCACCATTTGAGATTAGTTATGCAAAGCTAGATTTGATGCCTGACCAAAAGTCGGAAAGGTTCTTCAGCCATTTTTGCTGCTAAACCCAAAAGCAAGTTGTACTGATGCTCGTATGTGTAAGCGCGGGCATATATGATCTTGGGAAAACGAAAAAATGAACCATTAGATGGAGATTGATCGGAAAAGAAAAAAGCATTAGTGAATAGAAGAACCATCTTTACATTATCAAGCACCGCTCCCGGATCCATTCCGAATCTTTCAGCAATTGGTATTATTCGATCTGGTCGGCTTCAGATTATACATGTCAAGAAAAGTATATATTGAATATGGCAATTTAAACTAAAACAGGGACCGGATACAATACAAGAAAAGGATACAATGTCCCCTCAGTGTCGATGTAAGCAACCTTTCCATTGCCTCCCCTTAGATTAATCGGAAGCTTCAATATTGGAAAAAAGAGAAGGATTCCATCATTGTGAAAGGAACATGTATCGGGGATCAAAACAGCTAAAAGTAATCTATCATTGGATGTGCCATGGAGATTTTTATTTCCTTCGAAAAGATTGAGAAAATAAATACCTGTGTCGAAACACAAAGAGTATGCGCCAGCTGTGTTTTTCCAGATCTGAGTTGCATGTTAATCACAAGTACTCGAATAAATCATACTTTTTCTTTTAATTATCAAAAACAAGAAGCATACATCTTCTTACCTAAATTCCCCAAAAGCTTCTGTAATTGCCAAAGTCTCGATCCCACCTTCATAGATGTAAGACACAAGTGAGTCATGAATACTGTTTACTGAAATTCAATCAAATGAAAGCATATAAGAAAATTTATCTGTTACCCCCAAGAAGTTCATCTAAAGCTTGGCTTCCGGTTGTGATACGAACTATCGATTTTCTCTGTACAGCCAACAAAACGTATAAATAGGAGAGTTATCTGTTGCAAGTGCTCTTTGGCTCCACTATGCAGCCAGAGGAAATGAAAAACTCACTTTCATTAGAACTTCACTTCCAGTGATATAACCAAAGTTCTGTAAATAAGTGGGAGAAAAAATGGTAAGATATACATTGAAGACTATATATATATATATATATATATATACATTTGTCAGTTCCATGAAAGGAAACACTAACCACTATCTTTTCTACTGCTTCACAGATCTTTTCAACTTTTGCTTCAGAAAGTCCTTTGATTCCTGTTAAACTCTGGAAGGTTTGGAGAAATCACGGATTATACTACTGCGCAACTCTGGAAACATATCATAGAGTGATTACAATATTCACCTTCTTAGTGTGCATCATTAAGCCATTGCATGTATAAATTCCAGCATCCTGCAACTTCTTCACATCTCCAGCATTGATTCCATGTGCAGTCACTTAAGAAATCATAGGCCAAAGCTTTCAGCAACAACTAAAGCTATAGTGTATTTTAAGAACACTACAGTTAGCCAGGGATCTTGCCTCAACGCAAGTTCTTCATCAGTTTCCAGTTCTATGAAAGCATTTAATAATTTTCTCAACTTACCATACATGAGTTAACGTGAAAATTAGCATTCAGTCAAACAATATGACAGGAACGAGAGTTATGCACTTACACTCTACATTAAATTACAACCAAGCATTTGCTAAACATTAAATCAGATTTATTATAGACAGCAAATATATTACTGCATGAACATATTTAAGGTCATAATTGATCATACTGAAATAAACTGATCCTGGAAATTACAATCAATATTTATCTACTCAAACAGTCAATAAGAACTGCAAACACTGAAGAAACTTTGCTCCATTCAAAGTGTGATATTACATCTACCCAAACAGATTTCCTTTATATTAAGAGAATTCACCATAAAAACAATAAGAAGATGAACAAAAAGCTAGCAAAACAGAGGAAATATGCTACAAGCAAAACAGAGAAAGTATGCTAAATAATTAGTAAATATATGTATTTAATTCCTAGACAGAAAAAAGCTTCAACGAGATGAGTATAAGATCAACAGAAAATGTGACGAAGCGTCGCCAGAATCATACTGAAAACTGAGTTTGAAATGAAAATCAATCAAAATGACAAAAACAAGGATAATGCGTATAACTGTTTACGAGTCTATACACTTATCGATTGCTTCAAACAAATCCTCCTCGTCTTCGATTTCTTCTCTTTCGACAAGCTGTAGCTGGCTCTGCTCTTCAGCTCTGCAGCTCAAAATTCAAATAGAAAAACAAAATCAGATGCATAGATACGATAAGACATTGCTGCTCAGTAATTGAACTTCAACGCGAGTATTTCAATTCTTCATACTTGAAGGCAAGCATGTTTGTATTACGATTGAGCTTCTGGAGAATATCTGAGCGAACAATGAGACGGCGAATTGGCGAACAGGTGCCTCCGTTTCTTATGACGCCTGTATTTATAGTAGCTGAGCCAACGGTTTTTGAAAAGCGTGTTCCGAATTAGAAAAATCGCATTCGCACAAATAACGCGACACTGCAAACCTACGTGAGTTCTTTTTAGGGTGTGTTTGTTTGGGCCGTTGGATTTTGAGTTGGGATTTTGAATAGTAAAAAATTTGAATTTGAATAATAGTATGATGTGATATAAATAGATGTTTTGAATGTAAAATTAATTTTTAGTATAATATAAAAAATGAAAAATAGGTGTTTAATTTGATATTTTTGGAGAAAAAAAATGGGATGAATAGTGTAAATTCAATCCAATCCCCAAACAAACACACCCTTAACTGAATTTTTGGAATCTTCTTAATAAATTTTATAATTTTTTTAAAAAAAGACGAATTAAAAAAAAAAATAGTAAAGTTCATTTACTCGGCATGAAATGATTTTTGATATGTGACATAAAAAATTGTATGGAAATATAAAATATATTATTTTATGTTTGAATATTTGATTTTGAGTTTTTTTTATAATAAGTATATAAAGTTTTTCTTTTTTACTTTTTTTATAAAATATTTTGTAATTTTTATTATTATATTTTTAGAAGTTTCTATAATAATAATACTTCTTCCGTCCCATAATAAAATATCTATTTTTTCATTTTAGTCCGTTTCATAACAAAATATTCATTTCTCTTTTAGTAACTGTACTATTTATCTAACGTTACAAATATCTTTACAACTTACAATATATTTCACAAATGTCATTATCTTTATATCACACATACTAATAAGATTATTTTAGTTATTTCTACTTTATTCCTAATATATATCAATAGAGTACTAATATTTCTAAAATTACGTGCAAAAAACAAATTGATACTTAGTTTCGAGACGGAGGGAGTAATAAAAAAAATTATGTTTAAAGAACAGTGTGTAAATTCACCAATGAGTGTCGTTTTATGAGTTTTTTTTATGTTTTTTAAATTAAAAAATATATATATTATATATAATGGGTGTGGTTGATTGATAATTTTTTCTTATTTTGATTTTATTTTTGTTTCAATGCTATTCGAATGTAATATTTTATTAAAATAATAATATATCTTACAGAGAATTATATAATTGAATATTAAAAAATTATATTATAAATAATATCAATATATTTAATCAAAATACAAAATTGATAGTATAAGTGTATGAGATTAAATCATATATGATTTATATATATATATATATTTTAATGACCTGGGAATCCGTAGCCGCTGTCTAAGAGTGCGTACGGGTAAACTCCCGGCTGAACTTAATATCCTACAAATTAAGCTCGATAAGCCAGTCACACTAGACGAACCATATGTGACCTGAGACGTTCGGGGTTTGAACCCATGACCTCGCGGTCACATGTCCAACCCCACGCTATGATGATTTATATATTAATTTAGCATATGCTGAATTTAGTAGTAACTTTTAATCTTAATTAATATTTTTAATTACATAAATAATTTATTCAATTCAAAATTCTAATTAAATTCAATAATGTTGAATTAGAAATTTTAGCATGCTATTGGCTTTGTAAATATATAAACATAAATAAGGGTGTCGATATATACTATTGTAAATATAGTATTTACATATAAACAATTTTCTACTAGAAAATTATATACGGGTATTATTACCCAACAATTTTAAATATCATAATTTTCTACAAATATTATAAAAAATACAATATATAAATAGTAACATAATATATATATACATTACTCACTCAAAAAAAAATTATTTAAAATATTATTTTTTATATTATCAATATAATTACACGTACCTAATATAAAAAAAAAGATCTTTATCCAAAAATATGGAAAAAAAACCCACTATATTTTTAAGATCGATGTTTGCTTAATTATTTAGTTTAAAATTAATTTATTGAAAATGATAAAAATATTGGTTATTTTTTTTTAATTGAAACCCCTCGGACCTATATATAATAAATGTCCAATTCAGGTATGAATTTTAAATAGTAAAAGTTTTTAATTATAATAATTATTTAATTTCGATATAATAAGCATTGATATAATATTTTTAATATAAAATTAATTTATAATACTATAATATAAAAATAAAGAATAATTAATTAATTTTTCAAAAATAATAATAATTGATATCATGACCTTACGAGTAATCCTAATTAGTATATCAGCTTTTATTTTTAATTGGGCTAAATTGCACAAAATTATCTGTGGTTTCACAAAATTGCGTCAACTCCCCCGTACTTTTAAAATTGCGTCAAACTCCCTTATGGTTTCATAAATTCTGCGTTTAATCCTTCGGTGGTCCTTATTTAACAGTATTTGACCTAAATGCGCCCAAACTATGAATAAATTTTATAATCTTAATTTCTAAACCTCTAAAATTACAAAATATATATTTTTCTTATATTTAGCCTAAAAAAATAGTAAAAATAAACTCTTAAAATCGGATAAAAATAACTATTTTTTAGTATATTTATTATTTTTTTGAAATTAAATACAAAAAAAATGAATATATTTATAATTTTTGGGGTTTAAAAATTGAGATTTTAAAATTTATTTGCAATTATGACGCATTTAGGTCAAATACTGTTAAATAAGGACCGCCGAGGGGGTTAAACGCAGAGTTTATGAAACCAGGAGAGAGTTTGACGCAGTTTTAAAAGTATAGGGGATTTGGCGCAATTTCATGAAACCACAGGTAGATTTTGTGCAATTTAGCCTTTTAATTATATAGTTCGAATTAAACACTATATGCTATGTGAATAAACAATTTACATCATGTATTTATATTGTAGGGCAAACTGTTTTTTTAGTCCCGTAACTAGACCCCTTATCATTTTAGTCCCCTAAGTAGAGTCTGTTGCAAACTAGTCCCATAAGTGAAAACTTTTCGTTGTTTTAGTTTTCCGGCGTCGGAGACGCCCGCGTGGCTTGTCGGAGGCCACGTGTCCGCAAGGTCAACAACACCTGGCAGACACGTAGATTTTATTTTTTTATTTTTCATTTTTTAAAATTTTTTAAAATTTATTTTTAATTTTATTTGCCTTTTTTAATTTTTTTTACTTAGTCCAATTAAAAAAAATAAAAAAAAAAAATAAAAATCTACGTATTCGCTAAGTGTCGCTGACCTGGCGGACACGTGGATTCCGGCGAGCCATGCGGGCGTCTCCAGCGTCGGAGGACTAAAACAACGAAAATTTTCCACTTATGGAATTAGTTTGCGACAGACTCAATTTACGAGATTAAAATGATAATGAGATGTAGTTACAGAACTAAAAAAAATAGTTTACTCTATATTATATTAATATATACTTTATATTATATAATATCAATTTTAATGTATATTATATGAATTATTAGTATTTGTTGTCAATAATACGACATATATTGTGTGTAATTATTTTAAGATAATTATATCGAAGCCGTTGAACTATATTATTAGGCAACAATTGAGGTAAAATAAGCTATCATGTTAATTACCTGTAGTCATTGATAGGACATCTTTAATCCAGCGCTGGGTTGGTTGATTTCGCGTAAGTTGTTTTTAATAGATGCCAAATCTTGCGCTATTATTTTGCGTTAACTACGGTACAGTTTCAATTTTGGTGTTGCATTGTAGCAACGCCAAAAAATGACATTGCTTCCTATTTTTTTAAAAAAAAAATTAGATTTTTAATTTTAACTTTTAAATATATTTTTTATTTTTCTAAAGTTTTAAAAAATAATATTTTAAATTATAAAAATAAAAAATTGTTTAAAATAATAGAAAAAATTGAATATTTGAATAATAATTGGGAAAAATGGAGTTATGGTTAGAATAAAATTATTGTAACAACGACATATTTAGAGTTAAAATTGGATAAATATAGAGTTGATGGATTGAAGATGGCCTAATAATATAGTTCTAACAGCTCCAGTATAATTGTTTTACTATCATTATAAAATTCACTAAAATGGAGATTATATTATTGCTATTAAAATCGAGATGATATTATTTCTTATCAAATCCTAATCATAATTATCATTAATTTAAATTGAGTTTTTTATAACCAAATCTGTTATGACAATAAAATAATATTGCGACGGATTAGGATTAGTGATCGAATAACAAAAAAAAATGTATATAAAGAAGATACATATTTATGTGATTTACCAAGAACGTAATAATATAAAAACATTTATTTCAATTTGTATTTATTTTTAAATATGATCCTTATATTTCAAGGGTAATTTAATATTCTAATACATACATTTTCTTTAACAATTAAAAAATATTACTCTTTCGGTCTAATTATATTGGATTGATTTGGGCATAAAAATTAAAAGTAATAATAATATTTTAGTATAAAAATAAAGCATGAAAAAAGTAAAATAGAGATATTAAAAAGAATTATTAAAAATCGATAAAAAATATATATATATATATATGATATGGTAGGTTGAAAAAGTAATGATAATTTAATTATTATTTATTAAAATAAAAATAATAAATTTTGTGAGTGATAAAATTTATTATTATAAATAAATTATGCATAAATTTAATGAACGGTCAAAAATATAATATAATTATAGAAGACGAAGAATTATGTTTTATTAGGATATAAATTGTATGTTTAGAAGTGTCAGAAAAAAAAAAGAAAATTGTATTTATTCGGAAGATTTTGATTTTAAATTTTGATTTTAAATAATAAAATTTTGAGTTAACATAACTGTTTAATATAATAATTTGAATGTAAAATTAAATTTTAATATAATATAATAAATAATAAATAATTTGATATTTGATATTTAAAAAAAAATTAAAATAATAAAACCAGGTATAAAATATTAAAAATAAACAAGCACACATACTGTCTGAAACTCTACTGCCAGTCTGTCTATACAGTCACAAACGAGGACCACTTTCTATATGAATGTATTCAAACCTAACAATTTTTCTTATAATTA